CTGAGAGGGGAGGAAACTAAAGGCTTCCGGGGAAGCAGTGGATCCCAGAGGCCTGTTTCTCAGAGATGTTTCGTACCCACGTTTCCATTCCCCATCCGCCATGGTCTCCGGGCCAGCACCCCCTCCTCGGGGCATCTCTCCCTCATCACCCTTCCCCGCTGAGTGAGGGCCCCGGCCCTGACCTCCCCGATATCTCCCCGGCCCTTTGCACCTGGGATGCGCCCGGTTATTGCCAATCTGTCCCCTGCCAGAATGCTTGTTCGTGGAGCGGTGGCAGAATTGTCATCCCTGTCCATCCTAAACGTTTTTACGTTCCTATATTCTACTGGACTGCCGATGGCAGCGACGCTAAGGCCCCTCATTAACACAGGCACCGTTAAGAAAGAAAAGAAGCTGGCCATTAACCACGGTATCCCACTTCGAGGAATGTTAAAATACGAAAAAGAAAAAAAAAATGTGCCTGTAATTAGCCTCATTTGACACGTGAGGAAACCGAGTGTCAGAGAGATCAAGTAACTCGCCCGAGGACACACAGCAGGCGCGTGCAGGAGCGGGGAGTCTCACCCACAGTCTGTGACTGAAGTTACCCTAAACATAAATGAGTTTTAGCTTGAATGTGGTTGCCAGTTAATATTCCAAACGTCTGTTCCTGGTTACACACGTCCCACACATTTGTATTGAAAAATTGAAACAGTTATAAGGGAGAAAATGAAAGCAGCCCCACCCTCTAGAGAGGAACGCTTCAGGGTTCAAACATACAGCTCACCGCAACTCTGGCCGGCATCCCAGCGTTCCGAACACTGTGTGATTTGGGACGGGTTGCCTAACCTCTCTGGGCCCTCGTCTCCAACGAGGGGCCTGCCAAGATGACACAGGCCCTCCCAGGAGAGCTGTGTGTAAGGGCCTGGGTGTGGAGGTGACGTCACCCTGGCCAGCCCCTCAGGACGTGCCAGTGGCTGCCCAGTCTCCCTGCCTGTGGCTCCCCCAGATCCCAAGCACCGAGCGACTTCGGAGAGGCAGCAGGGACCCTAGGGCCTGCTGGCCTTCCTGAGTCTCTGTGGGGAGAGGTCCCAGGAAGCTCAGGTGCCTTCCAAGGCTGATGCCAGGGGTCACTCTGCCCTGAAAACAGAGCTCCAGACAGGCGGGGGGTCAGAGGCTGCCGGGGGTGCAGAGGCCCCAGCTGGCTGAGCTGCTGCAGCAGGATGGCTGGTCCCTCCGTCTCTCTGTCCGGCAGGCCCGGGACCTGCCTCTGGCGAGTACCAGCTGTGTGACCGTCCCCTCCCTGAGCCCGCCTCCTTGCCGGTGAAATGAGAAGGACCCCCTCCTGGGATGATCCATAATCCCACCGGGATTGTCCATAATCCCAACATGACCGGTTCCTGAGGTGAAGCCTGCAATCAGGGAGGAGGCAGCGACGGCCACTGCTGTCCTCTTCTGATACTTCCCAACAGCGCCCTTTGAAAAAACTCTCCCACCATGTGGGCAGATGGCGGGCCTACTGTGTGCCAGGGCTGCACCCGAGGTAGGAGGGCGAGATGGTCCATGAGGTGAAAACCTCACCCTGCCCTCAAGCAGCTCCGGGAGGGGAAGATAGGGCCGGAGAGAGCTGATACCGTCGGAATGTGGGGACAAAGTCTCCAGGGCCCGCCCCGGGGCAGAGAGGTTGGACCCTGCGGGAAGGCTGCAGTGAGGACTGCTTTGGCTGGGTCTCCCAGGAGGAGGACAAACCCTGCCCGCATTCTGACGGAGAGGGGGCAGAGGTGTGGGTGGGAAGGATGAGCAGCAGATTGGGAACACGGGCCCACAGGATGTGCCTAGCGATCAGCAGAGCGTCCATGGCAGTGGTTTGTGGGGGAGAGGGGGGTGGCTGGCTGGGCCAGGCCTCGTGGTGCAGGGCTGAGGGAAAAGGGAAGTCATGGAGGGTCCTGAGCAGAGGGAGGACCACCGTGCAGCCTGGGGGCAAGGGGAGCAGTAAAAGCTGGGGGTTCGGAAAGAACAGGGCTGCGGGAGCCAGAGCCCTCTCCGGAGCGCCCCCACCAGGCCCTTCCTCACAGGGGGTCTCACTCAGTCCAACAAGGATTGCATTCCCAGGTCACACCTGGGGGAAACCGAGGCTCAGAACTGCAAAGCCCCCTGTCCACAGTCACAGAGCAGACGGTGCGCTGGGGCCACTTCCTGTCCCCCGTGAGAGCGCCCCCTCCCTCCTCCTGGGACCCCGGGACAGACCCAAAGCGACTCAAAGGGCAGGACTGGGACAGCAACTGTGCAGTAATGCCAACCCCAGCTGCACGGGGTCTCCCCACAGCCCCCAGAGGGGCGCGCTGCTATCCCCATCTCCGAGAGAGGGCGTGGGGGCTCCGTGGGGCCCCACATGGAGGTGGGGAGTCCAGGCCAGGCCTTCTGAGCCCAAGCCCGTCCCCTGACCTCACACTGCCCCCAGGTTTGTTCCTACGCACACCTACACTCGGAGAGTCCAGTTCCTTCCCGAGTCACTGTCCATGGACCGCCCCCCCTCCTCGGCGGCCCCCTCCTCCAGCCCCGCGCCCTCCTGCAGGCACCCGGGGGAGATATGAGGGGCCCCTCTTGGACTCCACCTCCAGCAAGAAGCAGCGAGACCCGTGCCTGGACTCGGTGGCCACCCCTCTGCCACCAGACTCCCTACCCAAGCCGCGGTGTGTCTGCTGGCCTGAGGGAGGGACCTTTCCCAGAGCTGAGCCTCAGTCCCTCCCACACGTTCTGGTGTCTGTGGGGGACCTTCTCTCCAGGTTCTGGTGCCAGAGCCCAAAACACACAGAGGCATGGACACATGAGGCCTGCTCTGCTGGAGGACATGCAGTGAATCGCAGGAGAAAGGAGAGAGTAGGGCCTGGGCACCTACACCCACCATCTCCCACTGGCGCCTCCAACAGTCCACAGAGCAGGCAGCGGGGAACCCATTGTACAGATGTGCACTCAGAGGCTCCGCTGGGGAAAGAGATTGATGTGGGGCCAGCCCGCAGCAAAATGCCCACACGGGGCTCAATCGATGTTCCTTCCAGAAAGGGATAAAGAGGGGAAACCCACAGTGCTGAGCAGACAATTATCTTTTTTTTTAATTTTCAAAAGTTTTCTTTAAAAAAAAAAAAAACGTAGGCAGGGGGAGGTCTAATGAATGCTCTCGGTAAGAGAAAACGGGGCACATCGCATTGGTATGCTGCGAAAGGTCAGCAGCTGTAACATTTTATGATTCAATGCAAAAAATATGCACCGTTCCTCAGCTGAATAAGTAGTATAAACAAAACAATTTTTTTTCTTTCTTTTTCCTTTTCTTTCTTTTTTTTTTTTCTTTCTTTCTTTCTTTCTTTCTTTCTTTTTTTTTTTTTTTTTTTTTTTTTTTAAGATGCAGGGTGGGTGTTGCCATTTTCCGAGGACCTCTCTGCTGCCCTCGGCCAATATTCCTCTGAGGGTAGAAAACGCGGTTAAAAAAAAGCAGCACTCAGCCCTGAATCTTTCTAGAACTCAGGCAGAACGCGCGAGCGTGTGTGAGCGAGGCGAATGCAGAAGTCGCCTCTGATACCATCGCGGACCCACGACACAGGGGCCTGAAACCCCCTCGGCGAGCAGGGGGAAGGGACCAAACCGCAGAATGTTCCCGGCCTGGCTCGGCCGGTGGCGCAATGTTTATGTTTGGGCACCCAGCGAGTGGGTGCACCGCCTGGGGCTCCTGGGGGAGCATGGGCAGCCTCTCACTGGGGGCTCAGGGCTCGGGGACCCAGGGGGGTCTCCCCAATGCTTGTCCTGGTCCTGGGGTTCCTCCTTAGGCGCCTTAGGCTTGGATTTCGAATTCAGCCCCCACAGACGGCCAGAGCCAGGGCGAGGGGTCAGGCGGGCTCCCAATCAGCTCCCATTCACCGTACAGAGATGGGGCGGATCCACTGGGCGAAAACAGTGGTCGGCAAACTGCGGCTCCCGGCCGGCGTGTGCCTCGCTGTTGACTCCTGAGCTTGCCGACCGCCGGTTTACAGCAACGCGGCCAGAGCGCGCCCGGCGGCCCCTGGGGGGCGCTGTCACCCCCCTGACCCGCCGGCCCCTCCATCCGCAGGAGCGCCCGGCGACCCCTCGGCCCGAGGACCTTTCTCCCCCGGCGGTCCGCTTGGAAGGCACTGAACTTAGGAAACTGCTTTTTTTTTTTTTTAAGTCACAGGGAAGTCTGGGGAACAGGCAGGCATTTTCCTGAGCTCCTCCGCCCCAGCTCAGCGCTCTCGTTCAGGGTGGGGGCACTGGGGACCAGTCCACCCCCCACCCCCTTCCCCTGCTGCCGGGCGCCTCTGCCCCCGCCGGGGACCAGGAAACCAGAGACAGGGGCGCCGCACGCAACGCGCAGGAGGCCCCTTTCCGCTCCGGGGCGCGGGGACGGGAGGGGAGGGGAGGGGAGGGGAAGGGAAGGGAGGGGAGGAAGGAGAAGATGGGGGAGGGGGGCCAGTGGCATGCCCCCCCCCAGCCGCTGCCCCCCGGCCTGCCCCGGGCCGGCAGCGCCCCCTCCTCTCCCGCCGCTGCGCCCGGAGCCGGCGGCCAGGCCCCGGGGACCGCGGGGAGCGGGCGGCCGGCGTGGGGGGGGGGGGGCCGGGGCCCTCGCTCCGAGGCCGATGACGTCTTCGCCTCTGGCTCCGCCGGCGCCAGGCTGGGCGGGCGGTGACGTCACCGGGCCACGTGACGCCCATTCAAATAAACAAACCCCCTCCCCCCGCCCGGCCCCGCCCCGGCGCGGCGACTTATAAGCCTCCCCGGGCCGCCCGCCGCGGACGCCGGGCCGAGGACGAGCGGGGCCGCAGGGCGAGAGCCAGGAGCACCGGAGAGCCGCGCCGCCCGCCGCCCCGCTCCTCCGCAGGCGAAGGGTTTGGGGTCCGCAGAGAGAGAGAGAGAGAGCCCCCGGGTCGGACCTCACCCCGCCGCCGCCGCTCCCGCCGCCGCCCCAGGACAAAGCGCCGGAGAGCCGCACGCTGGGCGCGCGGGGGCCGAACATGGTCATGGAGGTGGGCGCGCTGGACGCCGCGGACCTGCGCGCGCTGCTGCGGGAGCGCGCGGCGCAGTGCCTGCTGCTGGACTGCCGCTCCTTCTTCGCCTTCAACGCGGGCCACATCGCCGGCTCCGTCAACGTGCGCCTCAGCACCATCGTGCGGCGCCGCGCCAAGGGCGCCATGGGCCTGGAGCACGTCGTGCCCAACGCCGAGCTGCGCGGCCGCCTGCTGGCCGGCGCCTTCCGCGCGGTGGTGCTGCTGGACGAGCGCAGCGCCGCGCCCGACGCCGCCAAGCGCGACGGCACCCTGGCCCTGGCCGCCGGGGCCCTCCGCCGCGAGGCCCGCGCCGCGCCGCTCTTCCTCCTCAAAGGTGCGCCCCGGGGACGGCCCTGCCGGGCGGGAGGGGGCGAGGTGGTGGGAGGACTGGCCTCAGTCCCTGCCCCAGGGGCTGCGGTGTTCTGGGGGCCCCTGCCCCAGGGGGAGCGGTGTTCTGGGGGCCCCTGCCCCAGGGGGAGCGGTGTTCTGGGGCCCCTGCCCCAGCTGGAGTGGTGTTCTGGGGGCCCCTGCCCCAGGGGGAGCGGTGTTCTGGGGCCTTGCCATTGGCTTTGTTTGGCACCAGAACAATGGTTGGGGGTAAACCTCCAGCCCTGGTGAGGGGGGGCTGCATGGAGGGGCCCTGGCCCGGCGGCACTAACGGGGGAAATGTCTCTGTGTTCCCAGGAGGGTACGAAGCGTTCTCAGCTTCCTGCCCGGAGCTGTGCAGCAAGCAGTCGACCCCCATGGGGCTCAGCCTTCCCCTGAGTACGAACGTCCCCGACAGCGCCGAATCCGGGTGCAGTTCCTGCAGCACCCCACTCTACGACCAGGTTAGTAGGGGTGGGGTGTGCCAGAGGTGGGGGGGGGGGGAGGAGAAGGGACAGCTGACAGGCCTGGGGGAGCAGTGCTAGTGAGAATATAGAAAGTGACCTGCGCTGTTGCTTAGGACAGAGGGGGCATTGTTTACCCCGCGGTCAAGTGCTCCGGTGATGAGCTGAGCCTCTAAGGCCGGCACCACCGACATGACCGCCGGCCAGGCCGGGCAAACGGGTTTAGTAGTCCCCATCCTATTTATACCCAACGACAGTGCTGAGGCTTTCAGCGGCGGCTGAAGCTGGCCCCAGCGGTGGGTTTGTGGTGTGGGCACCGCATTGACTCGGAGCACAGCTTGACGAGTGCTGGTGTGTTTGGTTCCAGGGCGGCCCGGTGGAGATCCTGCCCTTCCTGTACCTGGGCAGCGCCTACCACGCTTCCCGCAAGGACATGCTGGACGCCTTGGGCATCACCGCCCTCATCAACGTCTCGGCCAACTGTCCCAACCACTTCGAGGGCCACTACCAGTACAAGAGCATCCCGGTGGAGGACAACCACAAGGCCGACATCAGCTCCTGGTTCAACGAGGCCATTGACTTCATAGGTAAACAGAGCGGATGTGCCCGAGACGTCTCCCCCCCTTCCCCCCCGCAGCCACCGAGCCCCACACACTGCGGCCAGGCCCGAGGGACATTCCTCTACGCCTTCCTCCTCCTCCTCACAGGAAATAGCAGGCTGGTGTGGGTGACACCCCGCACACGTACGGGTCTGATGCCCCACTTTTGAGATGGGCAGGCCCGAGGCTTAGAAAGTGGAATGGATTTGCCCAACCCTGTGCTTTGCACAGTGGCCTCCTGGCCTCCACGGACAGGGTCTAGGTCCACGGACAGGGTCTAGATCCACGGACAGTCTGGTCCGCGGACAGGGTCTAGGTCCATGGACAGGGTCTAGGTCCACGGACAGGTTCTGGTCCACCACCAACCGGGTTTTGGTGATGCAGGAGTCCATGCTGAGCATCTCTGCACAGGACACGCAGGCTGTTGCTTAGACCCCCGGGGCCAGGGCCGTGCTCCGGAGCTCCTGGGTAACCCGTCCCCCTTTGCCTTCGCAGACTCCATCAAGAACGCCGGAGGGAGGGTGTTTGTGCACTGCCAGGCGGGCATCTCCCGCTCGGCCACCATCTGCCTCGCGTACCTCATGCGGACTAACCGGGTGAAGCTGGATGAGGCCTTTGAGTTTGTGAAGCAGCGGAGGAGCATCATCTCCCCCAACTTCAGCTTCATGGGCCAGCTGCTGCAGTTCGAGTCCCAGGTGCTGGCCCCCCACTGCTCGGCCGAGGCGGGGAGCCCCGCCATGTCCGTGCTGGACCGGGGCGCCTCCACCACCACCGTCTTCAACTTCCCGGTCTCCATCCCCGTCCACTCCACGAACAGTGCGCTGAGCTACCTGCAGAGCCCCATCACGACCTCTCCCAGCTGCTGAACGGCCACGGGAGGCGATCTCACTGCTCTTCGAGAGAGAAGAGGCAGTGACTCCAGGGAGGCTCCTGCGGGCTGGTCCTTATTTATTTATTCATTTCCCCCAGTTCCACTGGGTTCCCACGCCGTCGCAGCGACGGCTGAGCATCCAGGCGTTTGCTGGGCTCGGCACGTTGGGACCAACGTCCAGTGGGTACGTCGCGTCCCCCCCGACCCGGGGGCAGAAGAGAGAGAGGACTCCGTGCGCGAGCCGATTTCTTTTCGCCTGCCCCCGTTTCTCTGTAGACACGTCATGCTTGACATACCCACCAGTGTTACCATTCCTGACGACACAGGCATATGCGAATTTACCTTATTATTTATTTGTGCGGGGGCGGCCCGCCCTCGCTGAGGCCCGCGTCGCCTCCCAGAAGAACCGAATACCTCAGTTTTTGTGTTGAGTCCTGTCCCGTCCTGCACACACACGGCCTGAGCAGCCTCGCCCTCCGCACCCCGGCAGGAAGAAGGCGCCCGTGTGGTTGTCTTTAGTTGCCAACAGTTGTCTGTTTGCTGATTTATTTATGACCCGGAATAATATATTTCTTCTTCTGAGAAGACATTTTGTTACATAAGGATGACTTTTTTTTTTATACAACAGAATAAATTATGGCATTTCTATTGAACGCTCGCTCACGTGCTTGCTTTCTTGGGCAGCCCCCGAGCCCGGTCCCCCCAGTGAAGAAATAGGGGTGAGTCAGCAGGAATGCACGTTGGGATCTGGTGCCACCCTCCTGGGTGGTCTCTGTCCCACGAGATAACGGGAGTGGCCAGGTAGGTCGAGAAGTGGGGTCGATCCTGGAATACCAGCTGCTGTAGCTGAGCTGTTGGGTTCCAGGGTCACTCTGTAGACCCCCCCCCCCCATGCCACCCAGGGGCCCGTGCCCCCAGAGCCAGCGCTGAAAGGAGGGCTTGGGTTGCTTTCTCATTGACTGTCTTCTCCAAGATCACAAGACAATCCTCCCTCTTCTTCAGGCTGTGCTAGCTCAGAGGGTGACAGTTTTCCAGACACTTCACATACATGCATGTGTTCCTGCTCCCTGCCTGAGGGAGGGAGGGAGGGTGCAAAACAGACCCGCCAAATCCTTGCAAAGATGTTGAGACCCAGCCTAGCTAAGGGGCAGGGAGTCAGGGAATTGGACCTACATCTGTTTTGTGTTCTAATTCCATGTGCTTTGCACTTCCCTCTCCCACATGCTCTTGTTTTTTGCCTTTGAAAAGACCTTTATTGTGAAAATGATACCTCAGGTGGTTCAAAACCCAAGCACTGTAAGCAAATACAACATAAACAAATGACCTCACGTCCCCGCCCTCCCCGCCCCCACCTGACATCATGCAGGCTCTAGCGCTCACCCACCCCGGAACCCCAGCCTGGGAACCCGGCCTGGGCACACAGCATGCTCCCTGGCTCCTCCAGGCCATTCACTCGGGTTTCCTGATTGTGCGGAAGAAGCCAGGTTATTAAATCCAACCTGCTCAGAGGGCAACATTCTGGATTTTTACTCTGTCTTGCCAAACAGGCCAAAACAGAAGGTGTGATCTACCACTAACCCGTGATCAGTCTATAATGTTGAATGAAACAGCAGCGAGCTTCCTGGCTCACTGGCCCCTTAGCTCCAGCCCCCACCACTGGTCTCCGGACCAAGCTTTGGAGGAAGGAGGAAAGGAACCTCCTTGACTTGTCCAGTAGCCCCCAGCCCAGTGGTGCTGGTGCAGGCCCTGCCCCCCTCTCCCCCTCACCTTTCCCCTTCAGTTTACCTTCTGCCACCCCATTCCCAGGCCCCAGAGATCCCTGTGTTCCCTGAGGTTCTAAGAATTTACTCTGGGCCGGCAGGCTCACTTCCTCGGCCGGGCTTCCGATTTCAAGTGTTCACGCCTTTCCAAACAAACCTTATCCAGTGTTTTTATCAAACTCGAGACGCTGGCTGCTGCCAACACGTCCCTCCGTGGAAATGTACCAGCGGCTCCGAGCCCGTGGCAGATGCCGTGGCTGACTTCCCCCGTGGGCTCGGGCCATCGCTTTCTGCTTGGCAGGCGCTGGTTACACCAAAATTAATCTCCACCGGGATCCATGCAGTGGAAAAATACAGCGGCTGCCTGAGGGAGCCTCCGGTGAAAACAGTGCCCTCACTCCTCCTCCTGCCCCCCAGGAGAGCCGGTGACAGCCCCTTGGGGGGGGGGGGATCTGATTCCGGGTCTTCAGGCCCTCCAGGAAGTGTCACTTTGGGCCTGAAACTGCTTTTCTTAGGGGGGAAATGTACCTCAGTGGGGGGGGGGGGAGGGAGAGAAAAGGATGCTTATATTATGAAAACATTTGCTTCTCAATGGAAGATTGGAATAGAGGCAACTCAACCATTGAATGCCCGTAATGTGGTGATAACAGCTGTAGATTTTAGCCCCTGGGCTAACTGCTTTGCACACCTTTCCATTAAACCTGTCACAGAGCACCCATTGTACAGAGGAGGAAGCTGAGGCCCAGAGAGGGCAAGGACAGCCCTTGAAGTCTAGTTCAAGGCCGAGCAGCAAGTACGGGGCATTGCAGAGACTGGAACGGGGGTCTGGGAGAAGACTGGGGACCCACGTCCTAGTTCAGTCCCGAAGACAGCTTGAGGGAGAGGGGAAAATGAGCTTTGTGGCCAACCAGACACCCGCCTTGGTCTTTAGGTGGCGTTAGGGTGGGAAATCTAGTTATGCGTTTGGGCCTCAGTATTCTCATCTGTAAAATGAAGAGAATAAAGTCAGCTCCCTGGCGAGGAGGAGTAGGCCTCATGAATGTACGTCCCTGGCGAGGAGTGGGCCCAGGAGAGACACCCCTTTCCAGCTCCTCGCGACCGGCTGCGAGCTGGGGTCCCAGTTTTCCTCCCCATAAAACCAGGATGCGCTGGATCTGACAGGCAGAGCTCCTCGCAGCCCTCAAATCCGAGGACATGGAAAATGCATCAACGCAGAATGCTTTTCTGTGGTTTCCAGGCGCCCATTATCCCATTAGGATGCTTCCAGCCCCAAACGCCTCCACAGCACCCTCTCCTTTCCTTGGAATTTTGCAAATCGGGGCTCATTTGCCTTGAACTTGCAGCCTCCAGCGTTCCATTTCCCGCCCTCCTCCTGCCCCCGCCCACGGAGGATGCCAACCTCGTGTGTACACCTTTAAGATGATATAAATCTGTGATTATACAGTGGGTTCCGTCCCCATGGTAACGCGGAGGAGTTTCCCTTTTGTGAGGAAAGCTGTCATGTCACTTCCTGCTGCTGACAAATCAGTTTAGGAGATTAAAATGCCGGAGGGAGGCGGCTGGTGGGGAGGACTGGTTCTGCAGAAGTGCTGGCCGCGGTGGTTTCTGGTTGCCATCACAGAGGCAAACAAAGCCCAGAGCGGAGCGCAGCCCCGCCCGGCGCTCCAGGCTGCACCCCCTAGCCCCCCTAAACCCCTGGGTCCAGGTCCTCCTGTGCTGGTGCTCTCTGCAGGTCACATTCTGGGGAGCAGGTGGGAGGGCTGCCCACCTCTGGGGACTTCCCTGGGACTCTGCAGGGCAGGACGGGGGGAGAACAGCTTCTGGGGCCAGACCTGTGTCTGCACCCCTCTCTTCTGAGAACAAAGGGTAGCGCACGATGCTGGCTCCACCGTGAACAACAGCTTGAAGCCCCCGTGCTTGGCCGGACTGAGGCTTCTGAAGCTGAACCTCAGGCCCGTTCATTCACTCCTCCATTCATGCATCAGATGCTCACTGACTGGCCATGGGCCCAGGGCTGCTTCAGCGCAATGCAAGGTTCCCACTCCAGCAGCTGCCCTTGGGGCTGGGGCGGGCGTATAAACAAGTCAAGAAATAAGGATGAAGTCTCTAAAGGTGGGATAATAAAAAGGGGGGCTCTTTTATGTTTAATGTTTATTGATTGGTGGGCGGATCTGAGAGAGGAAGCCGGAGAGAGAGACATCGATCTGTTGGTCCGCCTATTTCTGTATTCGTTGTATGTGCCCTGACTAGAACCAAATCCGCAGGCTTGGCCTCTAGGGAGGACGGTCCAACCAGCTGGGCTGCCTGCCAGGGCCAAGCGGGGACTGGGGAAGAGGGATCCAGCGAGACAGGCAGCGGAGACCTGGGGTGTGGGCGGGATCTCTGTGGGTTGGTGGGTAGAGCACTTGGCTCGGGGTCAGCTAGACCCGAGGTCAAGTCCTCCTGAGTTCAAATCCTGGAACTGCCACTGCCACGTCGTATTTAGTGACTTACTGTGAGCTCCCACACTCTTTAAGCCTCCGTGTAAACACGGTCAGTAACCTCTGACCTTAAAGGCTCTGGAAGGATTAAAGGAAAGGAGGTCACCCCTGAGCACCTCGGGGAGGCCTGGAAAGGCTCGTTGTCCTCTTGTGACTCAGCTGGTTTCTTGAGCAACAGCGCCTGTCCCTACCCTCTCCCCCCCCCCACCCCCGAGAAGTGGGTGGTCCTGCTCCATCCTGACCCCCCCAGGCACACCCCCCAGGCCTGCGCGGCTGAGGGACCAGCTGTGCTGGGTGGCAGCCTGTTTGGAGACCACCAGCCCTGCCCCATTGGCTGCAAGGCGTGCTGCTGCGTGGCCTCAGGTTTCCACAAGAAGCACCTGCAGGGACCATCTGTCCTCTCCTGCACAGTCAGCGTTAAGCCCCCTCCTCGCCCACGCCGGGGAAGGCTCTGGAAAGTGCACCTCATCAGGGCTGGTCCGGGGAGACAGAGGGAGAGGGAATGAGACACTTTTCTAGGGAAGGGCAGCGGGGGTCCTGGACCTCAGGAAGGTGGGTGGGTGTGATGGAGAGCGATGCTCGCTCACAAGTGGCCCATCACAGACACTCGCCCACCCAGCCCGCCCTCACCCAGCTCTGGGCAGTCCTTGGGTGCCTACCACACTGCCACATTCAGGTGTAAAAGCTTCATCAATGGGCCCTTGTGGTTGGCTGCCTCCTTCTTCATTCTTTGTGTATTCATTCATGTATTTGTG